CCACAAAAGTGCAAATAAAAAGGTTATTAGCCAATATGACTGTTTAAAATTGCAATATATTCAAAGTTAGACTAACTTTAGAGGTCATCTGAATATCCATCTCTGTCTCTCTGTGTCTGAATCTATTTGATATTGCAAGTCTAATTGTTGGGCTAAGCCACTTTAATCTATTATTTGTGATTAAAAGCACAGAGCAAAGCATTTGTCTCCACTCTAGCAACAAATCATTAATAAATATTGAACAGTGTTGTGATGAAATTAGAGATGAAATATAAAGTAGTGATGTACGTAGCAGCAGAGATATTGGATTTTTAACTTGAGGTTTGAACTTCTTGCTTTTCAAGGTTGAATCCCGAATTAGAATCACTGAAAGGAAACGTTCAGCATTTCTGAATGAATGTTCTGTCAAATTATTATGAGCTTCTAAAAACTTACATCAAGTAGATATTTCTCCTCGATGTCGTTATATAGCATAAATCAAGTTTATTACCTCCTAAGTGCTGAAGCTATTGGCTCTTCATATATGATGAGCATCATCATATGTATGCAAAATTATGAGGACTTGCTTTGTTTTTTTAGATGGTAACATGGATACCACATCAGTACACTAATATTTACTTTTTTATCTGTTTACAGCTGCAGGATGTAGCTGGTATAAAAATGTTTAAAACTGTCACTATGTTGTCATAGTAAAATGTGAGACAGATAAAATGTGTAAACATCAAACTCATCTGCCTTCTCCCTGTACTAAATGCAGAAATACACACCTCAGTCACAGGTAGAAGCAGGGTTTTCAATCATTCTAGTGTACATGCTGCTCACCTCCTCCCCTTTGCTCTCTGCTATGCTACAGCTTCACCTCAATAGCAAATATGTCAAGAATGCTAAGGCTAGTTAGCATAGCCAAAAATGATGGCATATAGACAGTTTTCTTGTAACTGTAAGTTGTTTCTCCACCATTAGCACATTGAGCAGCGCATACACAAGCATGATTTACAGTTCTAAGACCCTCCTTCTGTCTCTGATTGGTGGTTTCTGACCAGGACCAGACTGTAATCTAAAGAGTGCAATAGCAGCACTGGGAGGTGGTTATTTTTTTATTTTTATTTTTAAAAAAATCTCTCATACTATACTGTCACAAAATGACAATATATGTAAAAACATATATTTTTTTTAAGTTACTGCAGCTTTAAGAAATCTTTTAAAAATGCTGAAATATCTACATATATATACTATTTTTTCTCTCTGACTTGGAAATTAAAAATGTCAACTTCTCAGAGTATATGGAACGTAGATCTACTCCTGAGTAGGTGAAACGGTGCTCATCTTTTGTTGTTGTTAGCTTCACGGCTAACTGTGTCCCTGACGGTGCATTTCTGGCACCTTATCTAAACTCTGTTGGTACTTGACAGCCAGTTTTGAACTTATTAATGTGTCATCGCTACAATTATGATGAGCTAAATCCTCTCTATTAAGACTTTTCCAACAAAGATCGGAGCATCTCCAAATGCTGGTCATATGTGGAAGAATCAGTCAATTATTTTGAAGCAGTGCAGCGGTCCAGGATTAAGGACTTAGAAGTGCAACAGACATCAGCCTCTGCCTCTCTCCCTGCTTTGCCCTCAGAGACTTGCACAAACAGCACGGCTTGTCAGGGCTGATTGCAGTGGCACTGGGGCAGATAAGTCAGTCTTACTATTATCCTGTGTAAGCCAGGACTGCCAAATTACAACTTTAGCCGTAAACCCCCACAGAGTTTGCTTACGAATGTCCTAAGCCACATCAGTGAATAAGAAATCCTGGTAAAAAGACTGATAGCCAAGGTTTTAGAGGGGACCAAAACAAGTGGGTCTGATGGGATGCATTTTGTTCAGGCTGCTGCAGTCTCTTCTACCTTTTTATTGCTTTTGGCACCTTTCCCCTGCTCATAAGTATGATGTTCTTACAGCTTTGCAAGGACCGTAATTTAAAGTTATTTCCACCATACCATCGATTCTCTCTCGGCTTTGATGCCGTGTGCGTCTGGTTACAGTGGCATAGACGGGTTGTGGCACTGGAGCATTAGCATGTATGGATTTCTTTGTCTCGTCTGTAGGCGCAGGGACAATTTCTCCACAGAAGATTTAAAAGATAACAGTAGTGAAGCTTCATGGGGTAAATTAAATGGGGCAAAGTGAAGCAGTAACCTTTAGGATGTATTGGTAGGCTGTACAACAGTGCCTTGCAGAACTATTTAATCACATTACAGCTGGAAAACCTTAAAGGTGACCTATTCTACTTCCTTGAACAGATCAGGATAGATTTATGGACTATAAAAAAACATGTTCATTACATTTTTGCACAAACTCTATCTTGGATAACGAGATTTCAGTCGACTCAGTTCTGTCTACCCTGAGCTCCTTTCAGAATGAGCTGTTTTAGGGCGTCTTGTCACTTTAAATCCAAATAAGCTGCTGCTGGCCACGCCCCCAACTCAACATGTACACTTGCACATGAAAATGACTCCAAACAGATGTATAACTATACAACCGTATTTGAAAAGCATCAGTAGAGCCTCCTGCACAACCAACAAGAATGCATCAAGTTGCTCCTGAAACACTTGTCTCTTCCAGCAGCCATTGTACACTGCATACAGCAGTAATACCAGCTGACCAAACATCCTTAAGTTCCATTTGGGTTGCCAGGTCCCAAATGTGACTTAACTGGGAAGTTTATGAAATTGCTTATTTACCAGACACCAAAAGACATTAACTTATTGCCAAAAAGCAACTGAGGTTTTTTTAGAAGCAGCAAAAACCCCAATGGAAGCATAAAAAATGTGCAAATTGTGAATTTTGCATCATTGGTTCCCTTTAAAGTATTTTAGTGGAATTTTATTTGACATAAAGTGATGTATATCTGTGAAGTGAACACTAACGGGGCTTTTTCTAACTATTTTTAAAAATAAAAGCTTAAAATTCATGGTAAGTATTTGTCTCCAGGCCCCAGGAGTTCACACTTTATGGATCCATCTTTCACTGCAATTACAGCTGAAAGTCTTTTGGAGTTTGTCTCATCCAGTTGGAAGATGACATTTTCCCAAACTAGTTCAAGCTCAGTCTGATTAAATGGAACGTGAATCCCGATGGCCCGGTCCAACCGGGCCTTGGAGTGGACCATTCCAACACATAATTATATTTTGATCTAAACCACTCCCTTATTAAGCCCATGGCAAACTTTAGATGGGACTTTTTATGTTTTTTTCTCCCATCAGTGGCATTATGTTTAATTTTTTCCATCAAGGTCAATTTTGTAGAGTCCATAAGAAATGCGTGGTGATTTTAAGGCCTCAGTTGAGGCTCTCTGAGCTGCTACATAATTAAAAGCCTCTTGGCACAGAGTGTCAGTTTAAATAGATGGCCATAACTTGGTAGATTTATAGTAGTTCAAGGTAACTAGAACTAGCTGTAAATGACAAGAATGAATATTCTTCTCATGGTTCATCACATTAACACTGAAATAAATTCACAGCTGCAGCAGGTTCTGGTTCCCCTTCATTCATTGTATTTTGACTTTTTATATGCAGAAGTCAAATTATTCACTAGCTACTATGTCCATTAGGTCTTCAGAGAGTATGCAGCATTTTTATATTTAATTTTTTAAATAATTCCTAATTTTCTGGGGATTTTTTTCTTAGCATTTCTTTCTTGAGGCCAAATTTCTCAAACAGCTGCTACTTTTCATATTTTAAGTTTTCCTAATTAGAAAATAAAAAAGACCATGTTGTAATCACAATAATCTTTTTAAAGCACTGAGGTTACGCAAGTTCAGAAAATCTTTTTTTCCCCTTCTAAAGCTACAAAAACATGAGGAAAGGCTCCAACAACAACAACATTGATGTGTAAAAAAGCTTTAATATATTAGTTTGCTGTGATGATGAGTTTCCAGTTTATATTGAACAATATAAACTGTTCAATATAACAGTTTATATTGTTCAATATAATTTAAAGTAATAGTTAAATAATGCTTTTGCAATGTTTTTTCTTCTAATCATTACAGATGAAATCTTTCATTCACTCCAAACAGAATGCCTTTAAATGAGCTGTTCTTTCTTCTTGTTCATCATGTCAAAACCAACAACTTTTAGGTTAAAGTTCTGTAAAATGACCTCCAATCACAATTTTATTTAAATGTGGTCACACTTTAAGTTTTGGAAGATTTCAAGTCCTGGTTTGAACTTCTCTGCAGCTTTTGCTCTGACCTGACTGCTGTGTTTTTGTCTTCTTGATGCCGTTGGTTCTCAAACGGACCTTTGAGGTTCAGTTCAGTTCAAAATTATCCCCAGAGGGGCAATTTAAAAGGCCCGAAAGTCAAACGCAGAAGAAAACTGTCCACTTTTAAACTACGAATCAAATGTGGAAAAAGTTCAAGTCTTAAGAAGAGTTTACATTTATCGCATCTTTTATCATTCATCGTGAAGAACTTTGATTTTTGTTGTCACAATAAATTCCAATTAATGAAGCTTAAAACCTCCCAAAACTGTCCGCATGGTCAGGATTGTAGGTTTTATTCCTTGTTTTCACGGTTTGTTCAATGAGAGTCATTAAAGTTGCAGTTTAGTGATACAGATCACACTTTTTTATACGACTGGTGTCATAAGGTAGCGCATTACGATTGGTATGGATTTCTGTTTCATCCCATCACAGCCGTACAGTTACCCTAACCCTAGTTTATCACAATAGTACCACAAAATATCCTGAAATCTCCCACTCCTACACAGTTTCTGGTTAATTTAGCATCAAAGTCCATGTATTTAGACCATTTCTAATGCTTCTCACCTGATACTTTCTCTGTCATTAGTGTTTTCCTTTTTTTACCCTCCTTTATCCCATTATAGCTCCTAACATCCCTTTGCTCCCTCCATTTACCCCTTGATTCAATTGCTCCACAACTTCTTACTGCTTGATTTATGACTTCTCCTGTACCATAAATTACTGGTGCACAAAGTTTTTTTTTCTTACCTTGCCCACGTACTGCGGGTCTGAGCCCATGTACTCCTCCAGGACAAAGAACTGGTTCCACACCCAGCCCCTCTTGACGCGCTGAAACGCAGCCGCCCCATTCCTCGTCGAGCCCACCGAGCTCCTGGCGCGCTCTCGCCCGCTCCTGCTCCGTCCCAGTGGGGATGAAGGTTTGTGTGAGGAAAAGACGGAACCCTCGTTGACAAGAATCCACAGGAACAGCAGCAGGCAGTTCCTTGTAAGCATTGGCGATTTGTGAGGTTCAGTTCCCCGAGTTGAAGTCCTTGTTGAGAACTGAGTTGCGGGGGGGAAACGGCTGCTGGCGATGAGTTGTGTGTGGATGAGTGAGGCGTGGAGTCGCAGCGTGCTTCAGGGCTGCAGACAGTGACTTCTCGATCTCATTACCTGAAATAAAGAAAATCCGTTTTAAAATGGCTAATTTTTGCATCACCTGTACTGCAGACTAATAACACCTTATTAAAATAAAGAATAAGGGTAGTGCAGGATTGCCTCACCTCACACTCAGTCATAACATGCGGTGCTAATAGCTTCCTTTTCACAAACACCAATTGGTAATGGCTTTCTTTTCATAAATACCAATATCTTGGTGGCACTTAGCAGCCTTATATTCTTTCCCCCACTGCTCACCTGCATTAGTTTTTAACTGCTCAATGATAAATTATAGTGCTTTCACTCTCAAGCATAAAAGTAAGTGCTGTAATTATGTGCCCTGTGATAGATTACTTCTACGCCAGGCAGTTCTCATGGATACATGCTCTAATTAGCAAGAAAACTTGTCTCTGTGGGGAAAAACGGTGCCTTTATTTTCGCTGTCAATTACCGGCCACCACACACCGAGCTGCAGACCTGTCAATGTTGCAGCAATTCCTCACCATAGACTGGCTAAAAGTCAGCATTTTCAATGACACTTTAATGAGAGGGTTCTGATGCATGTCATGATTTCCTTCACTTCAGCTTGTCTTGGTATATTTCATCTAAAAACTGCAGGTAAAGAAGAAGAAAACTTCCTTCATAAACAGAATAAAACATGAAACAGAAGAAGACAAATGATGAAGCACAACAGGGTGCATGTATCAAAATGCACTGACTGAAATGTCACCGGATAGGAGCATGCTCACAGTGATCTCTAAGATATGTTGCTTTTCCTGAGAAGTCGGCCCTTATAAGGGGCGCAGCTTGGCAATAAAGGGCAACTGCAGATTGACTCTGCTTGGCATTTTGACATGCATGTGGGAATCTGTGTACATCACACAAAAATAACTAAAAAGCAAAAGTTTTTTTCAAAGTATGGCCAGGCGAAAGCTTTGTACGATCTCAGTTGGTATGACAGTTTAATTACATTATATGTAAATATTCATAGATATTTGAGTTTGAAAAAACTACATTTTAAACAAACCCTTTGATCTGTGTTTTGTAATTGTTTCCTGTGGGTGCATTTGGTTGTGGTACCTCAAGTCATTTACCCTCTTTTGTTTGTATGTCTTGGTTCCTTTGCTCAGAACAATATTGTTAATTTCTATGCAGATGATACCAAACTGTATGTTTTTAAAAAAACTGCAAATTTTCAAATCAGTTACGTCGATTTGACAATTCAATAACTTTCTAAAAATCTGACAGCTGTCCGGTTTTTGGCAGTTGGAGATCAGATCATCTTTACTGTTGATTTAGTCACTAAAATCCTCGTTTTGTCGCTTTGAAACTTTTTTTAAAAAGTGCCATATCGAGGAAACGGGCAGCTCAAAGAGCTGCACATGACAACGTAAAACAAACAAGACTTTGCAGTGGCATAATTAATGAAAGTAATGAAAAGTTTAAGTGCAGATTTAAATTAATGATGTCCCAATTATTAATCAAAGGCAGCCCTCAGTAAATGGTGTGTTGGCAGGGATTTAAAGGAACTCGGTGCTTCAGCATTTTTGCAGTTTGTTCCAGATCAGAGAAGCTGAATGTGGGTTTCATATGTTGGGTACGTTTCTGTTTGAACAGGAGTAGAAGGAAATGAACACTTATTTAATCTGATCCCTTATCTCAACTTAATAAAATATATCACTTAAAGCCATGTTGTAATATTCACGTGCCTGTTCATTATGTTGTGCAAAAGAGCCAGCAAATAAATAACATGGGCAAAATGCTTAGAAACCAATTCATAACAAAACAAGAACATCTATTACTATTATTAGTAATAAAAGTAATAATGCCAATTGTAAATAACACCTATACATTCTTCTTAATCTGTGTTATATAACAATAATTGAAATTTAATAAAGTATTAACTGAAGTGACTTTTTCTAAAGAGAAAAACAGCTGCTGTATTATCAGTGTGGTTTTAGCAGTTGGTTCTCCAAGCGGCTGTTAGCGCCTCGTTTCCATTCGTTTACTACATTGTCAACACCAAAGCGTTCAGCTCTGGCCTTGTTACACGAGACGCCATTGTTCTAGAAACAAGTGACTGGAACAGCAGCCGGTGGGAAGAAAGGAGCAAACGATCCACGTAAAGCTCTACGAATCTGTACAGTAATGGAAGAAAGCGTCTAATTTCATAAACGGAGCCCTCATTGACATCATTGTCTTTGATTAATTATACAGACTTGGAACACCGGCTTCAGAGGTAGATTACTCCTCCAAGGTTATCTTGTGCAACCAGATCCATTTATTCGCTGTCACCACACTCCCTTTAAAGAGCAGAAACTGATCTGCAAAGTTCCCCAATATGAAATTGGCAGGAACCGCCTTGACACGGGTCAGACATGCCTCTGCCGCAGGTCAGTCCTCATTTAGCTCCAACATAATGGAAAATGACTGTTCCCATAATTCCTGCAGAATCACGCCTCTGCCACTGTTCGGTCCTGAGAGAGGGCCCCATGCATATTTTATGAGATGAGCTCATTAGCATATGTCGGGCTTTCGGGTGCGAGCCTTGACCTGTGTGTCTGCTTCACGTAGCACGACGAGCGCAGCAGGCTGACGGGGGCCCTCGCACATCACCTTCAATAATCAAAGAACATATGGCCGGCCGATCTGCCGGTGCAGATTACCACCCACGAGAAACTCCCACAGAAAGTTATTAGTTGTCAAGGCAGCCATAAACATGACAAACAAATCAGCAGGCATTGACTTTTGCAGCGGAGGTGAAGGAATGAGTCATGAGGATCAAGTTTTTGTTTTGCATACACTTTTATATCCTAACCTTTTATTTCCCCCCTCTGCTTTAATAGCTTCATTGTTTTGCACTGGCGTTATTATTATTATTGTTATTCAGGGACATGAGCAAAGGCGTCGACGTTTTAACAGGGTTATGAACTGACCCAGTCGCGAGTCGGAGACGAATTTTAAATGGCGTCTGAAAACATGCATCAGAATAGTGCAGCTTTTCTCCTATAGAGCGTCAGAATTAATATGGAAATTAACTTCACACTGATTCATGAGGAATTTACATTTTAAATTAGTTAAACCATTGTACAGCTCGAGACTGCGACTTTCTTTTAATATATGCTTTATGTTTTCTGGGTTTAGTGTGCTTATTTAACACAATGAAATGCATGTAAGCACAATAAGAAGCAGCATAATGCAGGGAGGGAAGCAGAAAGTTCAAGTTATGTAAAACCTAAACAGAAAATATTGGTAAGAATATAAAATACATGGAGATCACGGTAAAGAATATCTACTGAAGACAAAAAATAATCCTAAACCAGAGAAAAGTGACGGATGGTTTGGGAATTTTTCTTTTATTTGGATTCAATAAGGACAAATTAAAATAAATATATTTTCATATTGTAAATGTATAATAAAAAGCATTTGTTTTAATGAAATAATCTGAGAATATTGTAGAAAACAGCTGATTTATGTCTGATGTTTAGTGTGTGCTTTTAAGTTTATTTTTTTCTATTCAGGATAAAATATACATTATTACTTTACGTAATAAATGAACTTTAAACCATGAACTGAATTCCTTTAGTGAATTTGAACATGACTGAACATTTTCACCTCTAAAGTAAACGTAACAGATCTGATCATCTCTCTGGGATATTAGTTATTTAATGGTTAAAAATCCATCTAAACCATTAACATCAGAGCTCATCACATTTTTCACGTTGTATGCTTATTTTTGTTTTTATTTATTTGTCTGGTTTTTGTTTTGGCTTCCTGATGTTTGCCAATCTCCAGTTGGCACTGCTCTAGTTTTCCTGCTCCACCACCTGCTGCCCAGTTTGCCTCGTTCAGTTCGCCTGCTTCCCTCACCGGGTCTCTTCCCGTTATGCAGAGTAATGCTGTAGAGATGTTTTGTTTCTGAAATAAACTCATATGTTGTTTTTTTTTAAGTAACATTATTTTTACAGCATGTTTTGTGCTGCGTATGCGCATCTCAGTGTTTTGTAAAACGGAGGTAAAGTAGGAGATTTCAAACAGAAATAAGCCATAGCTCCACTTACTGTACTCATCATTTAATGGTGTTTCGATAAATTAAGTATTTTAATTTAGCTTTGGTATAATTTCTTCTTGGAAAGCCTTCACACTAACATAACTGTTAAAACTTCTGCAGTGTTGAAACAAAATGTACCAAAACAAATTACATTAATGTGAAAAAGTAAACTAAGTCATTAACTAACTGAATTATTGTAAAGTAAGGACTTTTATCAAAACTCTTTATCTTTTATCAAGTTTTCTTGACGTGTACGAAGATGTTTGCACTAGAAAGTAGACCGAGGATACTTGATAAAAATCCTTACTTTACAATAATAATTTAATATTTCTGAAAAATAACTAGTTCCTCTAGCAGATTATTACATTTAACTTCCCACCCTCCCATGCAATGACTGAATTTTTCACCACTACTAAGGAATTAACTTTACACAATCTCCGATCTTGCTGAAAAGTTACTTGTAAGTTTTGTCTTATTTCAATTTTGCTAAGACGTTTGCACTAGAAACTAGACGAGAAACACTTGGTAAGAGTTGGTTTTTGCAGTGTAGGTTGGAGAAATACTGACGGCAGCACTGAAGCTGGTTCACTAATGACCAGTTATCAGAGACACTAACAATAGACCAGTCCTAAAACATAATTCTCAGCATTTATTTCCACAGAATAAATCACTTGGCACTGAAACATTTTATGATCGTGACAAAAACGGCGACGTGCGCCGAAGCCTCTGCGGTGAGGTCTGTTAATCGGGTAAATATCAGCAGACGCCGTCTCCACACAGCTCAGACAGGGGGAGACGGTAATAACACTCAAACCCCTGAGGAGGCAAGTGGGAGGAAAAAATAAGTGTAGGTGGGGAAAAAACAAAGTAATGAAAATGGGAATATCATCACAGCTGGCCAGTAGAGCAGAATTATCAGATCACAACTCGTGTAGGTTAAAGCACAACCAAAGCCAGGAAAGAA